ATCCATACATAGCACATAACACGATGATAGAGTTGATAGAGCTAATAGAGTTGAGTTGAGTTGAGAGTCACGTATATAGCTAACAGCAGTACAAATTACAACGCAAATGGATTGATGTTCATGTTAAGTTGTGTTGGGTCTTGTTATATGCGCCAATTCGTTTATTTATTGATTGTAATATGGTTTATTGTGGTTTTTTCGTTTGACAGAAGTATAAAATATAATGGAATAGAGAGAGAGAAAGAGCACAGACAGAAACAATAAAATGAACCAAGGAATACGAAATCAAACAATTACATAGTTTTTGTCTTTTCTTCGATTATATAGCGGAAGACATAAATACAGTTTCTCAATAGCTACAACATTAATAGGAAGTAGTAGAGACATAAACAGATTGACAGAGAGAGACACAGAGAGACAGAGAGAGAGAGAGAGAGAGAGAGAGATTGAGTTGGGACAGAGATTGAAAGTATTATATGTTTTGTATATATATGAGCATCGTTAGTTTTATTTTATTTATTAAGATATTGCACACACACATATTTAGTTTTGATGTCACTTGATTATTGAACAAATCGAATGCATGGCTAGACGACTGCACATAAAAACCAAACTCAAAATAATGCAGCCTTGACGTACTTCAATTTACAGACTAGACAAAAATATTGCTTATTCGGATTCCGATTCGGATTTAGATCACAGATCTCAGGGGCAGCTGCTTTATTTAGGAGTTACTTAAATGTCAAAGAATGTGACGAATGAAGCTATGTGTGTGTACATTGTTTAATGCGATTTTCTAATATTTACGTATACGTTTGTTGTTGTTCTTGTTGTTTGTTTTTCGTTATTTAATGGAATATTTTAATATGCATTATTATCGCTGGATGTTTTGATCGTTTATTTGGTTTGCATAATATACATATATATTTATATATTTATATACGAATTACGAGTTTCGATTATCAAGGACTATATAGACAATTACGAATATTTAACACAATATTATTAAACACCAATCACTGATTCTCCAAGGGCTAATATAATGCAACATGACTAGATGATGGCATACAAAACAAGTTTAACCAAAGACAAACCAAAATTCATAAGAAATCGTTCAGGTTCGGGTTTAGCCAATCTTGCCCCACCCAACCCCATTGCCTATTTACTTAGCTGCAATTTCAATTGATGTTTTTTGTTTGAGATTTATTTTTATTAATTTTTTGTTTTTTTTTTGTAGAGTCAACTAAAGGTTAGAAACTGAAAACGTGCAACACCTGCGCCGAGAATTTGCGCTGGGACAACTAATAAATGAAGAAGGTAATCAAAATTTGTTAACAAGATATAGATATGATATGTAAAGAGAGCAGAAGAGTAGGTTGATAAATTTTGGCGATCAAAAAGAATTTATTAAAGTTACAACAAGATAATTTGGTAGTTAAGAGTACGCACATTATACACTCAGAACAGTTTAAGTACGATACATGTTTTGTTTGTTTTATTATTTTATATTTAATTATTATTTTCGTATTGTTTTCAAACAGGATTCAATGGTTCTCAAAAATGCCAATCCAAAAATAAATCAAATACAATTCAAATTCAAATCATATATATGTATATATTTATATATCAATTTAATCAAATCATATCGATGGGGCGAGCCTTTAAATGAGAATATAGTAAATACCTAACTGCCACGCCTGCATTGGCAGTTTAGTTTAACTACGTAGAGCAACGTAGACGACACAATAAGTTCGAAATAAAGCGAATAATAGAAAGCAAAATGAATCCAAAGACGAATACAAAATGAGTTCTTGTTGTTGTTTCTGTTGTTGTTGTTTCTTCTGTTGTTGTTGTGGTTGTGGATGTGGTTGTTGTAAATTAAAATTGAAAAGTATAAATATATGTATATTTCTGTATTAAATTTCTTGTTGATTCTTGCTTTTGCTTTTGCATTTGTAATTTCGTTTCATTTGCCACAATTATTTTGTTGTTGTTCTTGTTGTTGTAAATGTAATTGTGTGTGTGCATGTGTGTGTGTGTGTGTGTGTGTGGGCGTGTGTTTGATCGATCGAATGTTCTGAAATCGTTTTGAGTTTGTGATTGATTGATTGATTGGATAGTAGTAGTTGTTGTTGTTGTTGTTAGAAGGTATAGCAACGTATTGCTGGATAGCCATACCGGGCCATGGGGCGTATGAGTAATATGTGTCTTGATGCCGTTAGCTAGCTGCTTTGCTGCTATGCTTATTAGTTGGCCGCGCTCTGTGAGGCTTTCAGTGTGAGTTTGTGTTTGTGTGTCAGTGGAACATTTGTATAAGTGTATATACACTATATATATATATACATATATATAGATATATATATATAGTTATGTAGTAGTATGTTATGTCTGGTTAAAATTTTTTGTTAAAATCAAAATCAAATTTCAGATTTATATATTTTCACGCGAAAAGGATTTGAATGAATGAAGCGCAAAGTAAAAGTAAATACTGCACAAGAGATATATAACTTTTTCTTTTTGATTAATATTCACATTTTTGTATCTTTTCTTTTTTTCACTTGCAGAAATTTCATTTTGATTTGGTGTTTAATGATCAGAGCAAAGTCTTTTTGTTAATTGAAAATAACTTTTATTGACTTGGATATATGTTTTATATATTTTTTCGATTTTTTTTTTTTTTGTGGTTGTAAGTAGTCTGGTTGTTTACATTTTTAAGATCAGTTGTTGGTTATTTATTTGTCTATGGATTGTAAGAAAATTTAGTTGGTCTCACCTTCGCCCTTTTTCATTTTTTAATGTGCCCCCATATTTGGCTCTTGTTCCAATCAAGTCTATAATCTCAGGTATACAACTTGCAAAAATCGCCTGTATTCAGTATGAAAGATAATGATGATAGTGAAGTATTTCGTTTTGTTGTCTTTTGAATTGTTACAAATAAAACAAAAAATTATATTGCCGGAGATCAGAGAACGCGAGGGGCTCAACAGACCGAGACAAAGGGATGACAGAGAAAGAGAATATATATACATATATATAACTATACATATGTAGGTAGAGTGAAGTATCGACTGGCAGACAAAAGCTATATAGATACAGTTACATACGTAAGTTTACGTCTAGATAGACAGATAGCTAGCTCAGCTCGACGACGTTGACGACACAATATTTTTGTTTACCTGCTAATTGATGCTATGGTGGCTTTGTCAGTTTTTCATTTATTATTGCTGTGTATTGTTTTTATTTCTTTAGATGATAACGCCAGTCGTCATATTTGTGAGAACTGAAGTTGCTAGATGTTGAAAATCATATAGAACTAATATATGGAAATTATAGTAAAAGAATATCGTATCGAAATGAAATAGGAAACAAAACAAAACAAAATCATATCATTTTACTTTTCTTTACAAATCATCCAACCATTTCAACAGTCTGCAGCTAATTTTATTGCTTTTATCCATATGGAATTGGCTTTCGATTTCTTGGGGGAACGTGTTGTCTTATAATATATATATGTATATATATATATAGAGAGAGAGAGAGTATATATGTATATGTACTGGGATATAAATCGAGCACACATAGTAACTGCGAAGATCTCTAGAGCCAAGTACAGACAGCTATCAGTAGTTAATGCAAATCTAATTTGACTTTAGCTGGATGATAGGTCTGGGCTTTGGCGCCTGTTGGTCACTACAACTACGATAAGATCGGGTGTTGCATTTTACATTTGTGTGCGTGTGTGTGTGGATTTCCAATAACAGTTCATAAATATATATAATCATAGAGAACAAACAAAACGCGTTGTATCATTGTATCTGTGGATGGTGTACATGAGAGTCTATACTTAATTGGAGTCGGGAATCGGGAAAGATTATTCGAATGTGGACATGATGCTGGTACTGATACTGATACTGATACTGATAAGGATACGAATACTGATGCTGATAACGATAAAACACAGAGATACTGCAACTATTACTGATAACAAATAAATTGTTTGTCTTAATTAAATCATCGGGAGAACTTCGCAGCGCCGATTCGCGCAACTTCATTACTCTTATATGCGTGGCTGCGGCAGACTAAGTAGTTAGGTGCAAGCAAATTAACGACTTTAAGTATGTTTATTAGAGATGATGATTAACTATGTAAATTGTATAAATTGTGTTCAGCATGGCCATTCACGATGCCATACTTGATCGAGTATTGTGTGTGTGTGTGTGTAGTTATGTATGTTTGTAATTACAAGTGAGTTCAATATAATATGTAAGTAGGTAGTGGATAAAATTGCAAAAAACATATCTACTTCATTGTTTAATGTTTATGTAGTATTTTAGTAGAATTATAAAACGTGTTTAAGAATTCGAATAAATTATTATTAATGTTCAAAGATCAAATCAATACAGAACTTAAGCGGCAACATGGTGTGTGTTCCAACAAACAAACCAACAAACAATTTAATGTTATGCATTTTTTTTTTTTTTTTTTGGTTTAATATTTTTAAATTAATTTGTTGTTATTTATTTGTAAGTAAGTCCAAAAACCAAAGTTAGAAAAAAGCTATTTGGTTCGAAGCATTTCAACGGGGGGAGTAACTAAAACTATAAACAAAACCAATTTGTTGTATAAATTGACTCTGCTCTGAAGTTGCATAAAAACTCGCTCGTTAAACCTTTTTGGCAAACTTCAAAAGGGTTTAAGTAAAGCCCAAAATTAAATACAAGATAAGCTGACACTTTAAGTTTTCATATACATATATAGATAATTGCTCTTTAAAAGAAAAACAAAGTGAAAGGGAAATAGAGCAAGCTTTAAAATGTAAAAACAAATCAGGATTTGTATCGACCAAAATATACATTTATTACGACTTCTCTTTAGAACTCAGAAGCCATGCATCGGCGTCAGCTAAATATGCCAAAATTCATAGATTTCTGCTCTCTTTTTGGCCTTCTTTTCTTTTCTTTTTTTTTCTTTTTTTAGCACTCACACACAACTAATTCAAACCCTTCTGTAAATTGTCTTTCAAAAATTCGAATTAAGCATATCAAATATGTATGTAGATTGTATGTGTGTGCGTGTGTGTGTGTGTACTTGTATACGTGTATAAATTTGTTTGCTCTGTTGGCTTGTTTTTGCAATCAATTCCGAAATGATGCTAACAAATGTGATGCATGCTTTGAGTTATGGCAGCGCAACGAATACAATACGAAATCAATAAGTGTTACTGTCAAAGCCAAACTACATACACACTAACGTATACAGAGTATTTATCATTCGAATCGTAGCAGTAAGAGTAGTAATCCATTGTTGTCGTGTAATGTGTGAAGAGAGATGCCAGAATTTCTGCTCATATTCATAGTAGATATTGCGATGTGTGTTTGGAAAAAAGTGTAGCATATCCGCCAGGCGCTACGATGTCTGGGGCAAAAGCTTTTGGGTTCAATTAAAGCAGAGAAGAGAAACTGCTGCTTTGCATACATTCTCGTCATCTAACGAAGCCAACTGATAAACAACAATTGTGATGATGCTTAGCATTTTGATTATTTTTTAGAGAGATTACAAGACTTACAGAAGGATTTGACAACAACCAAAGAATTCGACATTTAAGCTTAAGCCTTACTTGATTTACGTATTTCAGTCAAGAGAGCCAAGTCGAAACTCTGCTCTTTCTTCTGTTCTTTCACATGCCGCCAAGAAACCAATGCCGTTTTTGGTACTTTGAAAGGTTTCAAATTTGATTTGCTTAACAATTTTCATTTTTGTTTTTTCAAGTATTCAATTCAAGCTGCTTGCAACTGTTTCGAGTGGTTTCAGATCTGATTTTCGTATTACTGTTTTTTTTTTATTATTTTTTTTTTATTTTGCTGTTTCAATCAACTGCTCTGTGGGTCAGTTGCTGAGCAGAAAAATTTGATAGCAAATATGTGGGCATTTTTATGCAAGTTCAAGTGACGTCAAATAACAATCAAATTAAAATAAAGAAATGAATAATAAGAAAAATAAAATAAAGGATATCAAACGACAATGAAATAATAATAAGAGATCGTATAAAAGGTTGTTCATTTGGAATTTCTGAAGTTTAGTAAGAATGCAATATAAGAAAAACTTAGGTTAATTCGATTGTAGCGATTGTAGCTTTATAGTTTCTGGTAGTTTATATTTTTGGTGTTGTTGTTGTTATTTGGTTTTCAATTTATATTATTGCATTTTTTGTTGTATTTTTTTTTTTCTTTTTGTATGGTTTTTTTTTTTTTTTTTTTTTT